CATTGTTGTTTGGCGGGTCCGGGCTGGGGATTCGAACCCGCCACCTTAGGTGTACGTGGCTGGCGCCTTAGCCAGTTGAGCTATAGGCGCTGAGCCTGATGATTTTTTATAGTATTCTCTTTTAGAATATTTGGATTGAGTATGTATAAAAAGTATCTTTTCTAAACTCACAGGACAAAAGTGTATGTTTAATAGCAGTTGTGGTAATAGTTAATATTTTAGAAATCACGCTAACATCTGTAGTTTTGGGGTTTTGTAATGTGGGCTAATCTTACTGGGGTTACTTGATATCTCAACAAAGTAGTTTTGATTTGCATTTCTATGATGATTAAAGATGATGAGCATTTTTTCATGTGTTTATAGGCCATGTGCCTGCCATCTTGAGAGAAGTTTCTGTTCAAGTCTCTTGCCCACAAACAAATGGGGTTGTTTATTCTTTTTTTATTGATTAGTGAATTCTCTGTGGATTCTAGTTTCCAAAAAAGGTCTGATAAATAGAATCCACATTTTCCACTCTTTAAAATCACAGCTTATGGCTGTTGTATAGTTCTAGATAGTATAGAAGTAGTCTTAGTGATTAACTGTGAGTGATACACTGAGGTGAAGACCTCTAGTTGCATCTTAGTAATTTAAGTCCCATGAGGATAAGGTCAGAAACCTCACTATAGAAAGGAATTGATAAATAAATGAAAATCAAATTTGTTAGGGACTCCAGAATCTAAAATCAAACAAATTGACACATTGGAAATCACTCTTAGAAATTTTAAAGGATGCTAGTAAAATGTTATTTGAACATTCTTTTTTTTAAACTTTAAGTAGGTGAATAACTGAAGGATGAAAACATTGTTCTTAGTAAATGGCATAAAGTCTATGTTAACCAGTTTGATGAAAATATTTCAAATTGTATATGACAACACTACATTGTACCCTATGTTTGCATTAAGGTACACAGCTATCATTTAATAAAAAAAAGAAAACATGGTTCTTTTTACCTGGAGGCAGCAAAGTCTATTTGTACTATGTACATTCTGTTTCAGTACTCCTAATTCTGAACTTTGAGAAGTGGTAGCAAAAATGAGGTTATATGTGATTATATATTTTGTCCTGGTATATACTCATTATCACCCCTGACCTGACTTTCTCTTGTAAAACATAATTAGAATCTTAACTAAAAAAAGTAAATTTTGTTTATATCAGGTCTCGGATTTATGTTGAAGGGAAAGTAGACTATGGAGAATACACGGATAAAAATAATGTGAGGCGACAAGCAACAACAATCATAGCTGGTAAGAAGCCTGTGATAATAGCTGTTTTTTTCTTGTTTTCCTCCTTTAAATGCTTGGCGATGTTGTAAGTAACTTTAACTGGGACTGTGAAGACAGATGCTTATGAGAAGGAAGGCAGTTCACTAGAAGAATTTTATCACTCAGGTTTTTCTGCTTGCCAAAAGTTTCTACATTTATTTATTCCTTTAGAAAATTAAAAATAATACTTAGAGTTTTTGACCACAAGTAATTTCAATAGAGTATAAAATTGAGTTATCCATGCTAAAATTTGCTGTTGAGAATTAGAAAGACTTACATCTAGTGTCTTTTTGAAGGACATAGCCTAGACATGGAGAAGGATGTGCCACTCACATTAGAGGTACACTAAAGTGAGTCCCGCAAAATTTTGCAGATTTATCTGGAACCTATTTGGTACTTAATATGGTGAAACTTGTATTTGAAAGCTAAATACTGTTGATGTTCTTTAAAGTAGAATACAGCATAGAAAAGATAGATGCATAAAGCTTAAAGAAGATTAAGAAGATATCCTCTTGGGAAGAGTTTTTAAACTTTTAAAAATTCTATAAGAATTTTGAAAATAATGTGCCCCTTTAGACATCTTTAAGTTGACATTAATAAATTTTTATTATTATAAAACTATGTTGCTCTGAAATATATTAATGAACTGTAAATGACAATATGATACCTACCATCATATTAAAAAACCCATTAACAAGCTCTTCAACATGTAGAAATTTTATCTTACTCCTTTTTCTTTGTACTTGTACCATCCATTTCCATTTTCTTCTCAGAAATGTATCTTAGTATAATAATATATTGTATTGTTAGGGATTTTTTATTCATCTTACTTGTTTGTAACAAAAATGTATACATAAAGAAATTTTTAAATATTAAAATTCTGTTGCAAATTCTTCTCAGTTGGGTTATCATTAAAGTTGTTTTTAGTACCTAGTTAACCCAAACAATTTTATGTATAAATATAAAAACTAAAATATTATGAGAAATATGTTTATTAATGAGATAGATGGTGTTTTTTTCACTTCTTGAGTAAGTTGCAAAAATTAGACAATGTTAAGCTTTGGTTTTGTTCTTTTGTTTTTATGTATATGAACAGTAAGAAACCTCATTTTTATAAATATATGGGAATGAAAGAAATGTTGCTAATGTCTCAATGTTTATGCACTTATGAGTTATGTTAAAATTGGAAAATGTCTAACATATATAAAGACAGACAGAATAGTGAACTGGACCCCTACTATTTAGCTTCATCCGTTAATGGTCAGTATTATTTCATCTATGTTTCTAGCCAGTTTACCTCTACCTCGATTATTCTGAAGCAGAGTCCAGATGTTATAGTATTTCATTTTAAATCTCAGTAGGTAGCTCCAAAAGATAAGGTGTTTTTTTAAAAACATAACTACCATGCTATTGTCACACCTAATGTTAGGAAATTACTGTTATTTGTGTTTACTAAATATCAATGTTCAGGTTTCCTTGATTACTTCCATAAATGAACATTTCTATATATTACATGGTTTATATATTTCTCGTCTCTTTTAATTCACAGATTTTCCTTTATTTTTCTTTTTTACTACCTACAGAGTTCATATATTTAATCATACCATATGGTTCATAATGTGTTATGAATATTCATTTGTTTTCTTATTGATAAGTTTCTTTGCAAGTATGTTAACCTTGAAAACTAAAGTAGGTATTTTCCTACCTTCATTTGTGGGCAACTATTAGTTTGTTCAGATTGTTGAGTTATGAACCAAGCTAAATAGAAACAGTTTAGATAATTGGTCATTTTGTTTTTTTCTTGTTAGCAGTTTTCACTAACATGGTCAGTTAATGTAAGTTTATGACTGATAGTAAAATTGAATAGATCTTCATTGGCTTTTGAAGTCAAGAAAGTAGAGTTTAATTTGGTTGATCTGTTTTATATGTCATATTTCTTTTCTCTTAGGAATTGTGTCTGTAGCTTACAAGTAAAATAATGACCAGTGGATGGCACTGTTGGCTTTTGCCACAGTGATGCCAATTCAAAATAGTCTCTTCTGAAGTAACTGTATAATACTAAAACATTCATTTTGGGGAGACTATATTTATGCACAAATATTCAGTCCTTTGTAATTTTATATTTAAAAGAATCTAGAACTTTTGGAATTATACAGGAAGTACAGTCATTGCTCCATGTCCATGGGTTCTATCCTTGGAGTCAACAAGCACAAATAGAATATACTTAAAAAAGAAAGCAATATAAATAACAATACAACAAGAAAGGAAAATACAAATACATCAGTATGACAACTGACATTTGTATTATGTATTGTAAGTAATTTAGAGATGGTACAAAATACAGTAGAACTTCTGTAAGTTGACCACCCAAGGGACCGTAACAAACAGGTCAACATATGGAGGTGGGAAATGTGAGGAACTAGGCTTTCTGTAGTGATGGGTACATACGGTGCATATGTGGCTGTGAAAATAGGTCAGCTTAAGGAGGTAGTCAGCGTAGGGAAGTGGTCAACTATGTAATTTCTGCTATATGTGAGAGGATTATATAGATTATACACAAATACTATACCATTTAATACCAGGGATTTGAGCATCCATGGATTTTGGTGTCTGTGGGAATCCTGGAATCAATCCGCATGGATACTGAGGGATGACTATACTACGTATTTGTTTTCCTTTGCTTGTCTATAACTAACTCCCTGGAATAGTATCTTCAGGGCTGTGTCTCACATTTTTATATAAAGTTTTTATTAAGTTATTTTATGATTTAAAAATAAAATTTCTTTTATATAAGTTTTTTTTTTTTTTTTTTTGAGACAGAGCCTCAAGCTGTCCCCCTGGGTAGAGTGCCGTGGCATTACAGCTCACAGCAACCTCCAACTCCTGGGCTCAAGCGAGTCTCTTGCCTCTGCCTCCCAAGTAGCTGGGACTACAGGCGCCTGCCACAACGCCCGGCTATTTTTTTTTGTTTTTTTTGGTTGCAGCCATCATTGTTGTTTTGGCGGGTCCGGGCTGGGGATTCGAACCTGCCACCTTAGGTGTACGTGGCTGGCGCCTTAGCCAGTTGAGCTATAGGCGCCGAGCCTTATATAAGTTTTTAAACTTACATAGTAAAAACATAAATAAATCTGTCATTGCTAACCAGGCCACATGTGGACTCCTGTCCTTTCCTTCATACCTCCAGCAAGTGGTATGATATGCCTTGGTCCTTTTCTAGGTGAAGATATATTGCCTGGTTTTGTGGCATTTGAGCATTGCAAGCATCCAATTTTTGACTATAACTTTTATAGGAAGTTATTTCTAAGAAGACTTTATCTTGTTTTCAGGGAAGACAGGAAATATTCCACTGCTTCTAACCAGTTCTGAATTGTTGGACAAACAGCCAATGCCTAATTTTTAGTTCCATTTATACCCTATGGCAGGGGTCCTCAAACTTTTTAAACAGGGGGCCAGTTCACTGTCCCTCAGACCGTTGGAGAGCCAGACAGCAGGGCCTGGGATGAGTTGGCTGCTAAGCAGGATGGGCAGCGGCAGCAAAAACACCCTGCGGGCTGGATAAATGTCCTAGGCAGGCCGCATGTGGCCCGTGGGCAGTAGTTTGAGGATGCCTACCTATGGCATATACTTAAGAACATAATAAGAGTTATTTAATACTTTGAAAAGACTAAAACCCTTTTAATAAATAGCACTAATGTATATATGTATTATCATGTAATTATTAAATAAGATGGAGAAATATTTCTGAAAATAATATTTATACTTTGCCTTCTTTACAGATAATATTATATTTCTGAGTGACCAGGCAAAAGAGAAGGAATAGAATGGACGATTCAACTTTGGTACAGTCTTATTTCCAAATCATGTATTTCCAAATCATGTATAGTCTTTGTAGTTTCTGAAGAGAAGAATTAAAATATTCTTTTATATAAAATGAGTGATAAAATTTTTCCTGTTATTCCCTCTACCCTTTTTGTAGCATAATCTCAGTAACTACTATCTATTATGGCATTTACTAACTGTTACTATTTTAGAGGTGGTTTCTGTGGATAAGTATGCAAAATAGTGAACTCTTATTCAGCACTTAATGTATATAGGTGTTTATCTGTGGTTGTAAGTATTGATTTCTTCTTGCTTGCTCTGTAGACTTGAAGGCAAGGAGTGAATCTTGGCACATTATAATTACTCAGTGAATGTTGACAGAATGATCCCAGTGGGATACTAATAGAAGGGGGTTGCTAAACGGAGGTTTGTGTTTAACCTAAATGTCTTTAAGATTAACTTACCTTCTTCACATCTTTTGTTTTTGGACAGTTTTGCCAGTAGCATTTATGTAACATGGTTTACTAGCAGTAGGGACCTAAAATACAGTGAGATAAAATGGTGTTCCAGATGATGCTACAGGGACTTTGGTTCTCTTATTCCTAAGTGTCTCTTTTCTGTCCTTTTGAAGTCCTATCAAGAACTCTTGGGGAGGATAGCAGGGTTCCTCTTGACAGTCTTTGACAGTGCCTTCCTTAGAGCCTCAGGTGTTGCATTTTCCTTTTGTTTTTCCACATGGTCTCTTGAGGCACATACCCACGCAGATCATTATGGAATCTTTCTTTTATTATAAGATTTGGGAAATTTTAGAATACAGATAATTGATCCATAAATACTACCTAAAATAAACTCAGTTTTTCAACGCACGTTTCTGCTTTTTAAGGTTCGTGTCTGTCCTCCCCAGATCTGCCTGCCACTTTGCTGCAGTTTTCCAGTTAGCTGTCACTGAGCAGGTGGTTTTGTTCCAATGGGAAGAGTTCCTCATTCTGTCTAGGTGGGGTTTCCTCCAGTTTAGCCTCTGTCCCAGCCTGTGTAGCTGTTCCCCATATCCTACCCCTATGCCTGAGAGTATGGTGCCAACTGTAGCTTAGGTCCCGTGGGACTTCATTAGGTTTAGAAGTCACATGCTGGAGTGGTGCCTGTGGCTCAAGGAGTAGGGCACTGGCCCCATATGCCAGAGGTGGCAGTTTTAAACCCCGGTCAAAAACTGCTAAAAAAAAAAAAAGTCACATGCTGTGTTACAGGCTCTTGACTTTTAATGTATTTTCCACACACTTGAGTAACATTTTTGTGCTTATAGTGCAATTTGGTTGAGGAAAGATGGAATTCCTTAGCTTTATCCTGTCCCTGCCCAAGAACAGTAGAAGATTCATTTCTGTATTTTACCAGCCATCTTTTTTCCTGCATTTGGGACCACTAGTCATATAGTAACTCTACTGTCTAAGTTTATACATTAAAACTGTCTGGTGATAAAGACAGTTTTATGCCACATGCCTTAAGCAGAATTGTAAAGTAGATAACATTTATCTTTGAGCAATTCTTTATTTCCTCCATCAGCAAAAGGAGATTTTATACTTCTTAAACATTTTGAGAAATTATGCAGATTAGTATTCTTGTTTAAAAGTGATAAATTTGTGCATTGGGAAAATGACATAGTGAAAAAAAAAGAGTTAATTACCAACCCAGAGCAGTTTCGGATGCAGTGGAAGAAGAGTATATTGTTCAGGATTAGTTGAACAGAGAGATTCTGCTGTAAACTCCTGCTGGAGGTTTCCTTTTCTCTCTGTGTCCCTGAAAGGCTATGAAGCTGAGGCATCAGTGCTTTTTCAGAGTTAGATATGTAGTGTCAAGTCCTCAGCATGTATATGATTCTGGCTGACCCAGTGGCCCCAAACCAGACGGATTTGCTGGAGATTAAGCTCTGCCCTCCCCACCTAGGTGGTTTCATCTGCTGAGAAACTGTCTGCTGCTTCTAAGCTGGTCTAGGCCCAGGGTGGACTGTGCATCGCGACCCCTTTTTACCAATGAAAATACATTGGGGCATTAGGAAGGTTGAGAACCACTGTGTTAGGGGTCCACTGTGTAGGGGCCTTCTAGTCTAAGTTGTGGGTTCCGCATTCCCCTTTTTGATGTTATAACAGTGTTAGGAAATAAACTTGCAGAAAACTGCCTTGTGACTTTGATTTGGAGGTTTTGTATCCAAATGGAAAGATGAGTGTGATATGTAGAAAAGCAGGAGAAAAAGTATCAACTAACACGTGTTATATTATCCCATTTTTGAAAAAGAAGTTCAAATATTAGTTGCATAATAATTTTGTGCCAGATCTTGTGTTAGGCTCTGGGTTAGGGAAAAATCACTTAACAGCACCTGCCCAGGATCTAGTGGTGGTGACACAGTCATCATTGGTAAGGGAAGAAGTAGTTCAGAGGTGGTTTTGAGGTTTTTGCTTGGAAACACATGTGGATAGTTTTCAAGAGTTAAGTCTTGAAAATGGCTTATTTGTAGACTTTCTAGCTGGTACTTGGCAGGGTGTTGATTATCTTAGTCTGGAGCTCAGAAGAGAAGTTGAAACAGAATGACTTTTTTTACTTCGCCAACCACATTATAAACAGTTTTGTGAGATAACTTTTAAATGTCGACAGGATTCTAGCTTTCTGTTGCAGAAGACCATATTGTGAGCAAGATTTGTAGTTGCCCACCTATTTTAAGATGTATCTAGGACTTGTTTTAAACATGTATAAATAAGATAATGGACATGGAGACAACTGCCTTTGAAAGAAGCTTTTATTTTATTACTCACAGTTCCCAAGAGAAGGGATATGTCATGCCATGCAGGGCTATGTAGGGAAGTCCAGGGTTGGTCAAGCAGCAGAAGGAACAAGGGGAAACCGGAACAGGCCAGAACCTTTGCTGTTTTTCATGGGGAAGGAATGAGTAAGGCAAGTTGAATAGGCAAGTTGAGCAAGTTTAGGATTGGGTAGTTTGAGTTTTCAGCAGTCTCTGGGCCCTGAGGATGAACCCATGTTGTCAGATACCTGGCTTTGGGGGTGATGGAAAGCTAGGGCGTAGTCTCCTAGACTGCAGAAGCCCGAGAAAAGGAGATGGGAGGGGAATATGGACTCAGGATTGCCTGGTTTGCTTATCAAAGGCATGCTCCTCAGGTAAGTTGTTTGCTAACTATAGGAATGAATGAGATAACCTTGGGAGGGGCAGCCCTTCTCTGCGTCTGCAGGGTCCCAAGGAGACAAAGCTTCATAAAATGCAGAAAATAAAAGACATGATTACTGAGTATCCATTATCTCTTCTGTATTTATAGAACCTTTATGCTATTGGAGGTGACAGAGTACACAGCTCAGATACTGTGTTGGCAGTTCTTTATAGTTAGAAGTTGCTAGGAAGCTTTTGGCAGAAGTCATTTGGTGATAATTCCAGTAAAGCTTTTACATGGGAGGCTGTTGGGAGGCTTATGCTTTTTGCTTCTCCAGACCCTCATCCCCCAGCTTTTTCTTTCTTGTCTGAAATTTGGACATTTTATGGCTGTATCTCCAATCACCATGTTGGACCAGGTGGCGATCTTTAGGATGGAAGATAGAAGAAGCTGCGATCTGTGATCACCGTGAAACCACCACCATTCTGGTCCTGGACAGTCTGCCTCCAGAATGCTTTGGGAGACACAAATAAACCTCTACTTTGTTTAAGCCACTTATTTGTGTTTTGCATTTAAACCTAATCCTTAAAATTCACACACTCTTGCCTTTATCTCCAAATGCATAATCAAGACTTTGCTCTTAGCTTTCTCGTACATGACCTTCTGCTGCTAGATGTTAAATTACCTCTGCTCCACAGCTTTTTAATTATATGTCTTATTAAATTTGAGAAAAGAACTAGGACATAAAAAGTACATAAAACCTTAGCAATTAGCATTAAAAAAGTGAACATAAGCATGTATTTTCACAAATACATACTGTTTAATTTTGCTTATAGCCCTTAATGGGGTTCCTTAATTAATAGCTCCTTGTTAAATGAAGGAGCTGCTAGGTTAAGTACAGCAGCACTATCTTTTTGCTTCTCTGCAGCATAGTAGATTAGATAATAGTGGGAGGCTTCCGCTGCAGAGTAACTGGATCCTAAGTACAATACAACTTTAATTGCATCATTAAGTATTTTAAATTGTTTTTAACTGGTTTTGTCATAACTATTATAAGAAAGAAGTTTAGGACGCTGGCGGGGATGTAACCCATCTTGGTGTCAGAGTGCTACTATTGGCTGAGGTGGGAAGCCCAGGAAGGAAGACCAGATTTGGGTGTAGAGGGGCTTTTAGTGGAGAGGGAGACTAATCAAACCCTTGTGGAACTTGTGACACTATTTTGGGCAGGTGACAATCATCCATTCATACAGTTCTCACGATGACTATATGATCGGCATTTTACAGATGGAGGCACCAAAGGGTTTCTGAAACTTTCTCAAGGTCCTGCAGTTAACAAGAGACAGAGCCAGGATTTCCATTCCAGACACACATTTGTATCCCTCTGCAGAATGCAGACTTTCTTAAGGACATTTAGACAACGTTCATTAGAAGATTCTGGTGGGACCTCTTAAGTGACAACTTGATAAACTGTTTCTTATCAGTTAAACCAATATGGGGATTTCTGTTTGCTGCCAACAGATAGAAACATGAATGGATGTATGAAATTGTAAACTTCAGGGGAGTGAGCTGGGCTGGACATTAAATCTGGAGGATACTTCAACAATGCATTCTGGAATATCACCTCCTTGGAGGAGTCTCCAATGCTTATGGAATTTGTGTGGACTATAGCCTCTTCTGGGAGACAGACACACATGTATGAACAATGGTTCTTTAAAAAATTAAATCCAAAGGGAGTGCCTGCCTTTGATGGAGAATGCCGCTCATTCACAGGATCACACGTTTATACATGCACGTATGCCTTAAGACCTGCTGAAGACTTTATGTGTAAGTTAAATGTGACATGGTGATGGATGTGAAAACTGGTAAGTCTGAATGAGAGAAGAGTACAGAGTGGAAACAGCTCACAGAGCAACAGATGCAGGGCATTTGGGCTGCTTGCCTCAGGCATCTTAAGCTGCACCGTAACTCTACCTTGTGCAAGATTGACAAAGACGTATTAAAACTCTTTAAATGGCTCTCGTTGACAAGATTGTCTAAGAACATCTTAATGACTACACAAAATTATGGTGTAATTTCAATTGTTTAAAGACTGAACTAAAAAAAGATGGGAAAATTATTTATAAATGATGTGATTACATAGAAAACAAAAAAATACAAATAAATTATTAATAATTAAGAGTTGCTGGGGATAATACTGGTATTTATGTGTCAGTTGCAAACAAGACCAAAGAAAATTAGTTATTTAAAGATGTTATATACAAGAACATTGAGAAATTTAAGGAGTCTGCAGGGCATGGCCTTTGGAGAATAAACTTCACTGAAATATATTAAAGAGAAACTTAAACACATTGGTACACTATGTTTGTTTACTGAAAGCATCAATATTGTAAAGATGTCAGTCTTCCCCAAATTGATGTTACAAACAATTTTAACAAGTTGGTTCTAAAAATGTATTGATAAACCAAGGTCCAAATTTGAACAATATGCTTCTGAAGAAGAGTGAGACGGAGATTTGCTCTACTAGTTGACAAGACTTTTTTTTTTTAATTATTAAGCTGTAGTGATAGGTGAAGTACAGAGGTGATGGAGAAATAAACAAATTGAACAGTAACAGAGAAGCCAGAAACAATGCATATATGGAAACAATATGTGATAAAAGTGGCAATATAGATTATTGGGTATAGATTATGAAACAATATGTGATAAAAGTGGCAATATAGATTATTGGGTATAGATTATTCAACAGATATGCTAGAAAAATTTGCCATGCACACAGAAAAAATGAAATTGGATCTCTACACTTTTACACAAAAGGAAATTGTTGGCTATTTGAAGACTTACTTGTAAATGGTAAAACTTGAAAACATTTGTAAGAATATAAAGGGCAATGTCTTCGTAATTTGAAGGTGTGAAATTTTTTTTAATGAAAAGTAGACATAGAGGAGAGTCTATATATTTAAATTTCTCAAAAATTAAAGAAAGTAAAAAAACAAGTCACAAACTGAGAGAAGATCCAGGATTTGCAATAATATAATTGAAATAGAATTGCTATCTAGAATATATACAGACCCTCAAAGTAATAAGAAGACAGCTAGGTAGAAAAATGGAAAGATGCAGACACATTTTGTAAGGAAGGTAATACAGATGATCAATCTATTAATAAATGAGAAAGTGGTTGACCTCTTTACTCAAGAAAATTCCAAAACTTTCAATGAGATTTCATTTTAAGCTCCCCCTACCCTCCCAGATTGGCAAATCTCAACACATTTAATAGAATAAAGTAGAAGGGAGGATACTGTAGATTGATACATCAAAGGAGACTGTAAACTGGCACCCCCATTTGGGAAGATATTTCAGCAGTGTTGACATTTGACCTAGTTTTTCCATCTTTACACTCTATAGAAAATTCTTGCCCAAGTATGGGTATTTATAGCAACAGTGTATGTAATAGTGTAAAACTGGAAACAACCTAATGGTTCATCAATAGCACATGGACAAATAAGTAGTTATACAGCAGAATATTAGACATCTGTGTGAATGAATTATAGATAGCACAGTAACGGATACTTTTTGAAACATAGAGTGAAGCAACAGTAGGTTGTAGAGGATCTTTGAATAGCATATTTTATAAGGGTTGGCACTAAGCAGAAATACAGGTATATTTATGGATAGGCATGTAGCTGATAAAACTTTAAAAAAGGAGATGATAAACACAAAATTCAAGATGAGATGGAAGCCTGGGAGAAGGCCTGGGGGTAGGCTAGGGAAGAAGCACATAGATGATTGGTGATGTTTCACTTTTAAGTTGGGTGGTGGGGTAATGGGTATTTTGTTTGCTTTATAATTTAGAGATATGTTGCATGTGTCTTATGTGTTTTAAATATATTAAATACTGTAGATGTTTTCATAAAAATAGAATATCCTACTTAGAGGTAACATTTAGTGCCATAACATTATTATTATTATTTTTTTGATACTAACCACTATACTAATGAGGAATTGCAATGATGTTGTTAGTGATGATGATGATGATAGGTACCAGTTAAAGAACACTCCTGTGTTTTACGTTTTCATAGGTGCTGTTTCATCACTGTAATGACTCTGACATAGGTAGTACTTATGGGTATTCCAGAGGTTTCCATACACAAATACATAGGAAGAATGGGAAATTGTAACTGAATATACCATTATTTACAAAATATTCACCACAAAATTTTATAAAGTATTTACAAGGTATTTTTCTACATGTTATGTAAGTGTAAATAATACTAAAAATATAAAGTATAATATGAGTTCGTTCATTTTTCTTACGTATGGAAACCTTTGGGACACTCTGTATGTATTATGCCCACTTTACAGATGAGCAAATTGAGGTTTAGAGAGATTAACTAGCCTAAGTTCATATACCTAATGAGTGGTGGCAGTCAGATTTGAATCCAGCTGTGACTGGAACCCAGTAGAACCTAGGCTCTTAAACCATTTATATTTACTGGTCTCTATTTTATTTAGTTGGAACTTGAAGGTCAGAAAGAAATTTGCTTATTGTCACACAGTTAGCAAAAAGTATCTTGGGTAACTTCTACTTTTTTGCTCCCAGTTTACCATAGAGGCATCATTAACTATAAAATGTGTAAAATAGATAAATAAGGAATAATATTGGAAATAGATAACAGGACCCAGAGGAGTGTATAGATTCTCATTAAACACCTGTTGGTTTGAGTTTTGTTCCACAATCTGAGCGTTTACGTGGATCAGGAACCAGAGCAGATGAAGCAGTGTGATAAAAGAGAAAGGGGATGTAAGATTACTAGTACTAGTGCTCAGGGCTATGACAAACTAGCCCAGTTCCATGTAACTGATTTCTGTTCTGTTTAAGGTTAGGTTAGCAATGCTCATAGACATGATAATTTTCCAATAAAAGTTCTAAAAGTCTGCTTTTAGTCCAAAAGTACTTAATTTCTAAAGACATCAGGAATTTGAATTCAAGAGAATTTGTCAGTCTCTCTTAATATTTCTTTTTTTCTCTCTTTTAAAAAATTTTTAGGACAAACTTTGGACTCAGCCATTTACAAAAAAACACTTTTTTTAGATGAATTAAAATTATTTAATATATGTTAGGACAGACCAATGCTTTATAATATTGGAATATACATATAACCATAAGTCACACAAAATTAATCACTATATATTTTTAATAAATCAAATCTAATTTTTTTCTCAGGTTTTCAGTGGTCTTAATATTTCAAAAAGACCAAATTCAGAGTTGTGTTTTTTTGTTTAGTTGGCCCAGGCCAAGTTCAAACCCACTAGCCTCCATGCACGTGACTGACACCACAACGACTGTGCTACAGGTGCAGAGTCTCAAATTTAGAGTTTTGATTGTGGATGTTTTGTCAAATATCAAAGACTTAAAACATTTGATTATAAGCCAAAAGATTTTAGAGGAAATACATAGTCAACTGGATCACATGTGAATTCCATCACAAATTTCTTTTTATGAGCTTCATTTAACCTGCACAGACAGTCTACAAACATTTTAAACTTTCTTTAACTTTTGCTCTGTCTTTCACTTTCTTAACACAACCATCCTGTTTGAGGACAAAATTTATCGCACAAGATTCCTTACACAATGCCATTTTCATTTCTGTCAAAAATTCCTCACAAAACAGGATCACAGTTTACTATGAAGTCACCCATTCACTCAGCCAAATTGATAATTAGGAGATTTTAAAAAGTAAGAATCCTTTTCTTTGACAAAGACTCAGTTTCCCCAACAATTTAAACAACTATATTATTACATTCTACAAATGAGAGACCTTTCATGAGATATAACATTGATAGAGGATTTTCCCAGTCAGGGCTGGACAGGGAACTCCCATTCTTCAGCTCAGGTGAGCTCAGACATCAGACTCCCATCTTCAGGCACAAACACGTTGCTGGCCATACCCTCTGAGTCCTAGCAGCATCGTGAACAAAATAGCCCAAAGTGTTTTGGACGGCTCCACCCTGAGTAGAGAGCACACACCCTAATCCCCTCCCCGGACAAAATCTGCAGCAAAGACCTGATAACCTTGCCTAAGGGGAGGGGCTCCTAGCCTGAAAGTGGGCCATTCCTTCTCACAGAATTGTTGGAAGTCAGGAATTCACAGGGAACCCATATCTCTTGGCTCTTTTCTTAAACTCCTGGAAATCTTTTGGAGGAGGCTGGACGGGGGTAACCCTGCCTGGACTGAAGATTTTTGTTCCATTCATGTCTACACTATTCTGCCCAAATGTAGGAATGAGGAGAGGCTCTGGTCTGGGTATTGTTCAAGGAAGAGAATCAGGGCTGTTTCAGCTAAGGGCCTCAATAAGGAAGCAATAGCTAAATCCTGCAAAGTACCCACTTGCCACCTAGGAGCTGTGTCCTGAGTGCGAGGCAAATAGTGGGGTCGAGGTGGATAGACTGGCTGAGGATGGTCCCAAGGGGGGAGATAGAGGCAATGAGGTGGGAAAACCAGGTGTCTATCAAAAAGAGTGTGCAAGTCTTCCTAGGCAGTGGAAAGACTCAAAACTTCTCCTACTATATCTGAATTTCTAGCCAGTCATCACTGCCATTGGCAATAGCAACCATGTTTCCTGTGTAAGTGAGAATGAAGGCTTACAGGAAATGTGATTGGATGACAAAATAAATGTACTAACAAGTCAACAGGGTGGGAATTTTGGATCCACTAGGAGATAATATTATAAAAATCTACCCAGTTACTTTCTCTTGACTGATGGCAACCAAGAGTACCACAATCTGACAGTCTGAGTAACAATACTTGATAGTGGGAGAACAGAAGAGGGGCTCAAAGTTTGGTGACGATGGGGCATCAAAGAGCTAAGGAGATGCAGAAGAATTAGAGCTAGCTGGACTAGTGGGGACAGAAGTATGAACAAGTCAGAACATGCTCTCTGGTGGACCAGTCTGGAGGGGCAGCACTACCAAGCCCAATACCAATAATAAGGATAAAGAGACCAATGATTGCCAGGCCAAAGGTGCACCAGGCAGTAAAGGGTGTAGAACACATAAGAGCAAGTAGGTAAATAAGGCGGTCTCAGAAGGAGCAAAGTCTCGAAGGGTCCCTTGAAGGAAAAGATCTACAATCCACTCATAAATGTCTCCAAGACTATTTCTTTCAGGCCAAGATCAATCCTCCAATAAACACTGACCAAATGACATAAAATGACAAGACAGACATGGAGCTGACATGAACAATGTCTAATAGTCCACACTTACTCTCATACTCCCGTACTTTCAAAACACCCTCTCATACACCTCTTGACAGACTTGCCAGTGATCTATGACAAAAGTAGCGGTGATCAAATTGAAGTTGGTATTGGGTCTGGGATTTGATTTTACCCCCAATACAAGATAATTAGCCTATTAGCATTTCATGAATTGCTGGCAGAGGACATAAAACTCTTGGATCAGAGAAAAGTGACCCTATTCATTGCAAACAGCAAGAGCATCAGCACATTTGCATCTGCTCCCCTTGCCCCAAAAGTCTCATGGGAGGCAATACAGAGGCTCAGGTAGATTTCATTATGGACAGATACACTGAGCTTGGGAAAATCATTGCTCTTATAGCAAACAGTAAGAAAGCCTGATCTTTTTCCTGGAAGGGCACATTACTTCATCCTTCAAGGTTGCTTGCTAAAAACATAGTGCTAAGAAATAAAGGGATATAAAAAATGTTAAAGGATAAAAAATCAATACATAGAACCAAGACCATGAGAAAACTGAGCAGGGTCAGGGATAGGTGGTGGGAAAAGCCCCAGAACAAGCCTAAGATCCTGTTACTGGACTCCAAGGAATCTGGGAACTGAGCTTATTTTAATTCTACAGCAGAGAGTTTGGGAAGTTTTTTTTTTTTTTTTGAGACAGAGTCTCACTGTGTTGCCCTTGGTAGAGTGCTATGGCGTCCCAGCTCACAGCAACCTCAAACTCTTAGACTTAGGCAATTCTCTTGCCTCAGCCTCCCAAGTAGCTAGGACTAAAGGCATCCGCCACAATGCCTGGCTATTTTTTTGTTGTAGTTGTCATTGTTGTTTAGCAGACCCAGGCTGGGTTTGAACCTGCCAGCCTGTGTATGTGGCTGGTGCCGTAACCACTGAGCTATGGGTGCTGAGCCAGTTTGGGAAGTATTTGGACTAGGTGGATAATTGCCCAAGAAAGCTGAGGGAGGTTAATGAATATGTTTATGTCTAAGGGTAGTCTACATTGCTCTGTAAGCTTATTATATACTATGTCATGGCAAGATCACTGAGGCACATCAGGCTCAGATGAGACATCACTTAGCATGCATTTAGGTGAGACTATATCTCATTCTTCCAGATTTATCTTCTGTCACTCTGTGAGATCTTTTTGAGGGGACCTAAAAGTATATCCCTCTGTCTGTCATTGGCTAATGTTGCTGAACTCTCTGTCTTGTATCTTGGTGGCATTGATTTCTTTCTCTATCTTTCAGATCATTTTCAAACAGAATTACCACACCTTATTGGTGACTTATAAAATCAATTTTGCAAGATGCAAGTAGCAGCAAAACAAACAGAATGGGGTAGAAAATATCAGAATGACACACACAGTTTATACATATATTTAGATTGTGACACACACATATAAAACAATATAAAAAGTATTATTGGCCATGGTCAAAATTTTAAGGCACTGTTTTAGATCAAATAAACCTTACTTGATTGACAGTTGACATCTATGTGTGATCTGTTAGTATGAACAGTATGAATGTGACTATTGATTTCTCAGTACAATGGTCAGGCATTCTGAATAACCTAAATGCTATGCTGCATTGTTGTGCAAATATTTAGGTAGTTAAGAGTTTGTGATGATATGACTCATTAATAAAGAACTGGAGCTCCAACATGTAAGGTATGCTCAAAGGTCATACCTTTTAATTCAAATCCAGGACTGGTGGGACTGAGGGTGTTTTATTTCATGTACTTTAACCTCCCTCCAGGGTGATGGATAGTACCATAGGGTAGAATTCTGGTATTTCCCCTTTTCTGAGTTTCTGAGTCCTTCTTCCTGAGGAATAAAATCTCTCAGTCTTCTGAGTGATTCTGTGTCTTTTTCTTTTGGTGCCAGTCACTCTTCTGTTGTGGGTGACTCAGAGCCCTCCCTTTGAAACTGAGTCCAAGTCCTCCATCTTCATGGTGACACTGGACACTACTCTTATTTGCATTTTAGCAAAGAGCTGCTGAGTTTAAGTCAGAGACAGGATGTGAAAATCCATATTATCTGTGCAGAGGACAGACCAACCTAAAAGCCAGACAGGATTCACTGAACTGTACTGTACAACAGATTACATTTGGCAGAGTCAAGAGACGGGTACAGTGAAGCAACAGACAGAGGGGATAGATTTACAGAGAAAAGTTAAATCAGCAAGGAGATCACATCAACAGAAAGAAGAAGATCAGGGGCTTCGTAGCTGCTGACATGTTGGGGTTCGTTGAGGGAGTGTTCCTGCTTCTGTGTGTTGCTGAATTCATTCTGGGACTTCTGGGGAATGGTTTCATTGGGTTGGTCAATGGCAGCAGCTGGTTCAAGAGCAAGAGAATCTCTTTGTCTGACTTCATCATCACCAACCTGGCCCTCTTGAGTATTGTTCTGCTGTGGGTTCTCTTCACTGATAGTGTTTTAATAGTGTTCTCTTCCAAATTACGAGATTTAAATATAGTAATGAAAGTTATTGATATTTTCTGGACATTTACAAACCATCTAAACATTTGGCTTTCCACCTGTCTTGGTGTCCTCTACTGCCTGAAAATTGCCACCTTCTCCCACTCCACGTTCCTTTGGCTCAAGTGGAGAGTTTCTAAGGTGGTTGTGTGGATGCTGCTGGCTTCCTTCCTTATATCCTGTGTTGCTGCCATATCTCTGTTCAATGAATTTAAGATGTATTCTATCATCAGGAGACTTGAAGGCACAGGGAATGTGACTGAGCATGTCAGAAATAAGAGAAATGAATATTTTCTGATGCATGTTCTTGGGACACTGTGGAACCTCCCTCCCTTAATTGTGTCCCTGGCTGCCTACCTTCTGCTCCTCCTCTCCCTGGGGAAGCACACTCGGCAGATGCAGCAAAGTGATACAAGCTCTAGAGATGCAAGCACTGAGGCCCACAGGAGGGCCATCAAAATCATCCTCTCCTTTTTCTTTTTCTTCCTCTTTTACTTCCTTGCCATTTTAATTTTATCTTCCAATCATTTCCTACCAAATAGTAAGATGACTATTATGATTAGTGAAATAATTATGATGTTTTATCCTGTTGGCCACTCATTTATTCTCATTCTTGGAAACAACAAGCTGAAGGAGACTTTTGTGGAAATGCTCTGGTGTGAGTCTGGTCATCTTAAGCTTGGATCCAAGGGACGCTTTTCCCCTTAGAGTAGGAGAGAGAGTGGGACAGACCTGGGAGTCCTTTGGCCTGGTCCAAGACCTCAGGACTCCTCCTTATCTCCTATGGTACTTGTTCTGTAACATCATAGGAGACAAATACTGACTGTTTCGGTGCTGGCCCTACCTGGGAAACTGTTCCAAGGTGGTGGCTACACTTCTCACAGTCTCTTTCTGGACATTTGTTCTGGGGGGAAGGGATAAGGTAGTTTATAGGAAGTGTCAGTGTACTAAGGACATTCTCACTGTATAGACATGGAGCTGTGTTCTAGCACTCTGGGAGGCTAAGGTGGGAGGATCCTTTGAGTTCAAGATTTTGAGGCCAGTGTCAGCAAGAGTGAGAGCGAGACCCAATCTCTACTAAAAAAAAGAAAAGAAAATTAACTGGGTGTTGTACCAGGTGCTTGTAGTCTGGCTACTTGAAAGGCTGAAGCAGGAGGATCACTTGAACGTGGGAGTTTGAGGTTGCTGTGAGCTGGGCTGCACTGTAGCCTAGACAACAGAGTAAGACTCTCTCAAAAATAAAAAATAAAAATAATAAAAATCATCAGCTCAACATAATGAAACTGGTTCTTAATTTTTAAAAATTCTGATACCAGCAGTGATAAACTTATGTAAATAAAATTAAGTAGTGGACTTGAGGAAAAGAGTCAAAGCTTTGAAGTCCTGTAGATGTGGATTTGAATTCTGATTCTGTCAATCTTTCAAGATTTTTGGTTTCAAGTGAGTAATTTTAATACCTGTCTGATCCTCTCTTCCCTTGTCTTAAAATGTGGACTCTAACATAGACTTCATGGGGTGCAGGGTGTCAGAGATCCATGAGACAATGCATGCTGACACTTTAGCACAGTGTTTTGTGTAGAGCACTCTGTAAGTTAAGGCTGTTATTATAACTGATATTGAATTATACAGCAATAGCAATTCCCATAGGATTCCAGTTTCCACAAACCCATTGTGTAATGGCAAAAGCAGTGGAGTGAAAATCAAGAACCTTGGATTCTAGGTTCCAGTCCTGTCTTGTATTTCATGATCATTTTACTAAAGTAAATTTGTAAGTAAATATTTTTTAGATTGGGCAAAAGACCAAGCAGGTTTTATTTATTTTATTTTTACTAAGATGCTTATCTGGTTTTAAAATTATAAAATCTTATGAAATATAAACTGTTTTTATAAGTTTAACCAATTTTTTTGACAAATGAGAATATTATTGTTTAATATCATGAAGAATTCTCAAATCTGTGAATACACTTAGGACACAAAGAATTTCTAAGTCTGGATTTCTAACACTAGTTAGGATTTCAGGGGTAGAGCACCATGGCCATGAATGTGGACCCCAAAGCCTGACAACTTGTGTTTAAATCCTGGCCCTGACCTTTATGAACTGGGTGACCTTGGGGGAAGCTGCTTAACCTCTCTCTTTTTCAACTTTCTTCATATGTAAAATGTAAATAAATATAGTATGTTGTTGATTGATTGGGTGGTTGGAAGGAATGAGTTAAGTTAACATGAAAAGTGTTTAGAGTCTTACATGGGATAAACAATAAATATTGCTGTTGTGGTGGTGGTTGTTATTTTTTGAAAAGGGATATATTTTGAAAAAGCATGAAGGTTCATCACATTACTGCACATTTGGTTATATATAACCAGAAATCAATTTTAAGATTGTTCTGGAATTTATATGTTAATTTCTAAATTTAAAGGAATAAAATGTCTTTTGATCTATATAGTTTGCTTCTAAATTGATACTTTGCCTTCTGAAGCTTCTGGGAAAATTCCCAATTATGACTCCACCTTTACAAAAGGTATTTACTGAAATTTAGAGAATGATTTAAGATTTATTTATAATTCAGTAAAATATAGTAATTCTAAAATTGGCATTTTTTTCCTGCCTTATAATTCTGCAATTATTACAAATCTGTGCTTCTTTTCAGCAGATGGAAGTTTAACTATGGGACTGTGCGCTGTCTTGATTGGTATCTCCTTGGTCCACCCTGAGCCTACACTATGCTCTTTACCTCTGCCTCACCTACTCTTGAACACTCATTTCTATTCTTTGTTACTTTAACCACTTCCTTGCTTTTCTCTGATCTTATGGTCCTTTAACCGTTTCCTGAACTCTTGACTGCCTAGTGTCTTAAGTATTGGGATTTTTCCCCCCTTTCATTGAACATAACATCTTGCTAGAGGCTTTAGCTTGGGTACTTTGACTATTAGTACCTTCAACTGACATTTATAGTGATCCCTCACTTCTGTTCCCATTGTGGCACCATCACATCCTTTCCTGACATAACAGGTTCAGATATGATGCAATCAATACACTGATGTTACCGTTACTGTCCACTTTATTGGCAACAGTAGTGTTCATGGGAAGTGCAGAAATCCCTGAGTGGGAGTCTGATGTGGCAGCCCATTTGGTTTCCTGAGAGGAAATGTGGCATCCCCACTTCACCCCATTCCCAAATCCTTTTTTCAGATAAATTTGGAGATGACTCTTGGAAAACCTCAGACTTTGTATGTGGGCTCAGCCATATGTGGACAGCTATCAATCAAAGTTGAGGGTGGAAGTGGGAGCCTGGGTGGTGGATACATTGCTGATGAATATAGTTTCTCCTGTTGTTAGAGGCACAATAATGGGAAGTCTGGCTATTTTGGAGAGGTTCTGGTCTTCTAAATCCATCAGGGAAATGCCTGATTTGACAGCTCCTTATAGAATCCTAGGGCATGAAACAGATGTACCTAAAGCTTTAGGCTCTGTTTCAAGAAAGCCTCAAAGGTACCAGCGTGTCAATTTCTTTTACTTTAGCAGATTGGATTCAGGAGGATTATAAATGAAAAACAAACAAATCATAGAACAGATAGAATATTTCTCAAGCAATTTCAATGCTGGTTAAAAGCTCCCAATTTGCAGTTATTGGGAGCAAAGCATTGGTAATTTTCAATGTACCACTGAACGTTATATTGTAAATTTTTCCTTTTATTTTCCAGAAGTAGATGAACAGGGCTACCTAGGGGGTCTGAAGGTTGTATTTGTGATTTTCTTAATTTTGGATAGGTGGAAAGGAAAGTCAATGTTATTTGTCTAATTTTGCAAGAAATTCTGTTTTAAGAATGTAAAAGTGACCTATAACCTTCAGCAACTGCTAATGATAATTATATTTTATTTCCTGGTGTTTCTATATTTTGCTGGACCAGAAAAATATATGGCGAAGCTATGTGTATATATAGTCCAGCATTAATTTTTTTTTGTTGAATCATAGCTGTGTACATTAATGCAATCATGGAGTACAGTGCGGTGTTTTCATATACATTTTGAAATACTCTCATCAAACTGGTTAACGTAGCCTGCATGTCATTTTCTTAGTTACTGAGTTAAGACATTCATACTATGCTTTTAGAAAGATTCACTTGTACCCTTGTAAGATAAACCATAGAGGTGACCCCACCAATCACCCTCCCTCC